TGGGATACTGCCAGGTTGCCCAAGCCTAGAAAGGGGAGGTCGAGAGGCAGAGGTCGGGTTCGAACCACAGATCTTCCAGTCAATAAATTGGCGCTCTTAACCACTTGAGCCATCTCGCCCCAAGGATGGTTAACTTGAACCCCAACCTGCACATACCAAGAATAGCTAATGAAATACAATAGACTGGCCCAATGAAATGTCCTCAAAAGCGTTTCACATCCTCTTAGCACGAAAAACACTTCAGGAGTTCTCCGTATGGCGAAGCAAACGTGATACCGGTTTTAAAAAGAACGATGTTGAATGGCAAATGTTGCAACAGTCACGGAGTGCACTAAGGAGCAGAAATACTGGTTACCATAGTTCTTAATTCAGTAACGATTTGTAAGTTGGGACAGCTGTCTGTCCATCACGCCCAAAAGACCGTTCTCACACCACCTCGCTTCCTCACCTACTAGTCAGAGTTCTAACGATCAGATAATGGTTAAAGTAAGGGTTCTGATAGGGTGACTACCCGATAACAAACACCAAAGTAGACGCAGGAAAACAAACAGCTAACAAACGCTGAAAAGCCACTCCCGCGGCATCAAAAGACCATCACCGAGGAAGAATCGAAACAATACACCAGAAAGCCAGTCTCATAAATGCCTATCGCACAAACTTACCCTTTCTGACACCTGGAAAGCAACGAAACAGGGAGTGGAAAAGATAAGAGTAGGGTAGTGTGACGACGATAACCATTGTGGAACAAAAATTACATCCAGCAAGATATCAGGAACCAAAACGCGAATGCTGCAGTGAATTTCAGCCTCTCTGAAAAATAAATTAGTCTTTTATGATCCGTAAGGCACCTGCAAGGTGGGACACGAACGAGGCTAATTACCATTAGAGCGACAACTATGACAACGCATCAATGACGACGAGGAACGGTCACAATTTTGTTCTGTTCTGAAATGGTTAGATAAATTTCATGAGGAGGAATGGAACTCGTGTGTTTCCAAAGAGAGACCAACAGAGTGGGCGGTTCCTCTTCGTGGGTCAATACCACGAGCTTTGCGCTCTGAAATGGTTAGATAAACTTCATGAGGAGGAATGGAACTCGTGTGTTCCCAAAGAGAGACCAACAGAGTGGGCGGTCCCTCTTCGTGGGTCAATACCACGAGCTTTGCAGCAGAGTAGATCCCTTCCCGATAGAACCCTCTCCACGAGAATCGCTGTACCAGTTTGCGTTCCGACTTACTAGTAAAGTTACGACACTTACAATGAGATGGTGGAACGCTGCAGGAGGAGAGAATCACATGATTGGTTGTCGCGCTGTAACTTCGTCCGATCACATACCATCTCGTTTTCATGTAAGCCAGTTAGCGACGCATCAAAACCATGGCCTGTATGGGAGTTATGCGACCGGGCACGGATGGAAATCAGTGTCTAAGGATTTACAAGCAGTTAAATCAATCATAATAGCAAACACCATTTCCGTAAATTATGATTCCGGAGCCAGACACATCAGTGATAAGAGAAACTAGCAATGTGGTCTTGGACCAGTTATACATATAATTTAGCAAACAAGTCGAAATTCTTCAAACTGAGATTCCACAGACTTACTCGAGCTAACAAATAATTCATGATTTGACGAGTCATTTGGGCCACTTTCGGATACGGGTCGTTAGAGAGTTGGACCAAAGCAAGCCAAAATTGTGCGTAAACGTTGGTAGTACCTACAAAAAGCATGTGTAAAAAAGAGGATAAATGAGGCCTACGAGCAACCAATGCAGTTTAGCGAAAATGCTTTAAGGGGGTGGCTGGAAGATCAGCCTCGTAAACGAGCCTTTGTGTCGGGACAGCAGTCTAATAATACCTAGTTGCGGCGTGGGAGCATGGCAAGTGTTCAGTTGTGACACCCTTCTGGTGCCTAGCTGCCATGCCACCCGAAGGGAGTACGAGGGCTGGCATACTGCCAGTTTGCCCAAACCTAAACAAGAGACGTCGAGAGGCAGAAGTCGGGTTCGAACCACGGACCTTCCGGTCAGTAAGTTCGCGCCCTAGCCACTGAGCCATTTCGCCCCCATGATCAGTGTGCGGAGAACGAAATACATATTAATTCTCCGACAGCCATCAAAAGTGTATTTCTATTATTTCCCAGAGTCTCAAGACAGGGAAAAGGAACAGAATGGCGGTTCTGAAAAACGCTTCTACGTAACGAACAGATGCATCCCAGTGGCCACAGGAAAACACGAATTCACAACATGGCAACCGTCAGTTAGCAATGGAAGCAAGCGTAAATTATCTCCAGTTCCACAATTTTAAGCAGTGCTATAGTCACGAGAATCCAGGTGGGGGTTCCAGAAAAATGAATGTAAAACTCAATATCTTCGGTTGAACAAAATGCTGTTGACTCAAGGGAGTAGAAAGAAAAATCTGGTTGTGTTCTGTGGCACATCAGTCTGGTTCAACAAGTAATGCCTAGAAATGCAACCCATGAATCGAATACAGTCAAGTGAGACCAAGGAAAGCTGTGTGCACCCAGCGGATAAGTTTTTAACAATGCCCAAATTTTACAGCTTCTGGATTTGTGGATTTACCTTATGCTACCAGTTGGTCAACTACAAACAGTAAACAAGGGGATCCGTTGAAATCCCAGACGCAGCCAGCAGAGCGCCAGCTAAGCAGAAAAACTACATGTAGAACACCCAATTCTAAAAGGAGATGACCCAGGCAAAACCACACTTGGTAAAGTACGCCGTTGTGGACAACCTAGGGGCAAACCAACCCTCTAGGGGAGAAGTTTATCTACAGGAAGAGGAGGACAGGAGGAAGCAGGTAGGAATACCATTTTTTTATCAGGAAGGAACCGACAGCGTCCTGGGAACATGGCGCTGTGCGCGCAAAATGTGTGCAGACTAGAAGCTTACCAGCGAAAAAGGTCGGCAAAGCTAATGGCTCGGTCCGTCGTGCTTTGACAAGTCCATCATCCTTGATAGCCGAGGGTCGCGGAGAGGTGCCTACATCATCTGGGCGGCCAGTGAAGTGTGACGAAGGAGCGAACCCTAGTATGTATAAGTAGGACAGGAGAAATTAGGACTGAAGACCCGAAAAATGTAAGAACCAAGAAGGTGAAGCACGAATATGGGGAGTGTAGCAAACGAGAATACTGGCGATCTGTAAGCCACACGAGGACGAGGCAAGATGCTAGCCCATCTCAGCCGTCAGTCAGGAAGAGTGAAGCATGTGGTCAGTGAATTAGGGAACACAAAGCTTGTCATAGCGCGGTACAACTACATAATTGCTTCAGGCCGCAGGTGTAACAACAGCAGAATGATGAACGGTGAAAGTCCATTGCACAGAATTACCCAGTTGGTTGCATTCAGCAAATTCACACGAAAAACGAAGGCGTGTTATGTTCCACATACACTCACCAGAAACACTGTGCCGAGACGGTCGACCGATCGGACGACTCAGAGTGGTTCCGGCTGCGGTGGATGACAGCTGCTGCAACTCTTGCAAATAATGATGTGCCATCGCGCACAACTGGATTTCAAACTGTCTGACAAGCGGGCACAATGCAGCGACGAGCTCGCATCTGACCAGAGGGCTGGCCTCCAGTGTGGCTAGTTTGATTAGACGCGTAATCACTTGTTGACTGATCTGGAAAAAAGGCGGCAATAATAGGCCATTGAGATTTCGAGAATAACAAACTGTGACCATACAAAATCGAGAAATTTCAAGGTGCAAACCTGGTCGGCGTGGTCCTTTTTGGATGGATCAGTCGTTTGGTTATCAACCAAAGTGCCTAGGGCATACGTGGTCGCGGCGCGAACCTGTGGAGAACAACAGAAGAAAGGGTGAAGCAATCGGTTGTATAATAAAAATAGATAGTCTAATGAGAGAAAACACCCGATGAACTAATGTTCCTAAAGTGTCCGGGTAAGTTGTTCAGCTGTAACGCACTTTCGGCGCTCGGCTGTCATACCACCCAAAGGAAGCACAAGGGTTGAGATACTGCCAGGTTATTCACGCCTAGACAGGCGCGATCAAGATCCCGGTATCTAGTTCGAACCAAGAATCTCCGGTAAGTAGCTTCGTGCCTTAACCAGTGAACCAACTTGAGCCCGAATGGGTGCGAATCCGACTACCCTTGTTTCATCAACTATCCTTCAGCTTCATATGCTGGTACAATCACCCGTGCTATCAATTTGTCGGGAACTTGGAATCTAAGCAAGGGGACAAATAAGCAGGGAACAGAAGGGGAAGCTCAGTGATAAATGCTCTCTAAACTGTGCATATAGGCCACATAGTAGTAGCGGTGATCCATTGGACAAAGTACATTGTCCTCCTCTTTGCCGCCAATGTACTGAAGCAAAGGAGTTAGTTTTTCTAGAGTGGCTCATTCTGAGCAGGTGAACACTGACATAGTGAAATAGACTGAAAACCCGAGATCGGATTTCAAAATGCGGTTAACTGAAGGTTTTTCGCTTTTTGATAGATCGTAAATCAAACAAGCCATCATGAATCACAACCAAATGCACGTGACCTAAAGCATACAGTCGGTGACCGTGAATAACGCAGAAACACAAAAAATGAAAACATACAGGACACACGGCAAAGAGCTGGACATCTAAAGTTCTCGGAACCAGGTCAAGGAACCGAAAAAGCTACGTTACTGAACAGATACTTTCATTTACACACGAATTTATCTTTGACAGGAGACTCAACTGAATCCAACGGATTCTCTCGTTTGTGGTGGCCCTGCAACAGGCCGCAAGTATTAGGACCGATGAGCTAGGGGGAGCTTATACGCCTTTGGATCGGATCTGCGGTTTGTCTCTCCTGATTCGCCTTATATGGAAATTCCTCCCGATTGTTGTTTACAATTGCTATCAGTATGTGCGGGTGAGTAGGTTCAACCTCAGTTGGGCAGCGGCAGGCAATACGTGAATTTTAGTCGCATCGAGCCTTCCAACACTGATGGCTCCTCGTGGTTGACAGCCACACACCACCGAAACCGCTCTGCATGCGCTCGCAACATGTACACATGTACATTCAGCTGGATGTCTCAACTCGGCTTATCCGAAACCGCTCTGCATGCGCACGCAACATGTACACATGTACATTCAGCTGGAGGACATCATAAAAAACGAGAGATTCAATCGAGTCTCGCGTGAAAACCAAATTGATTTGCAAATGAGTGAATTTCTCGATGTACACCCTCTATTCTACTCACGCTAGGATGCTTGGTGATTTCCGCCGCTTCGCTTTGGCAAGAATCGTGGTACTTGTCTAGCGCATGTGTCGCCGTCGCTGAATCTGACCAGCGACTTATATTCGCCTACATGTCTTTCTTTGTTTGTCACCTTGTACCGAACGTTGCGCGTAACCTTCTTCCTTTTTGGAACGCAATGCTTTGTTATGTTCATTACCCTTGATTTGCTTCATATGGAACAACCACTGTACTGTTCCACTCTTTACCTCGGTTTTACGCGATTAGACATTGATGGGGTAGTACTGGGGTATACCACCTATGGATGGGCTGATGAGTAGTGTAAGATGGCACCTATCTGTTGGCTTCTGCCAGTGGGAGGAGAATTCGTGGATTAGTTCTCTTTCCACTTTACAATTCGATCAAGCTTTTCTGTTAAAAGAAAAATGTCCTCCAGAAATAAATATGTTAATATTTCTTCAGACTTCCTGGGAACGATAACTTCTAGCCTCACTTAGCAGCGTGGACGATCGGTCACGCCATGAGATGTCAAGGAGCTGAGATAACCAGTCAAACAGAGGTACCACCATCCTACTCTGCCTTTTCCATGTCACATCAATTTGTGATACCACCCAGATCGAGCCTTTTCCTCACGTGATATAGTCGATCTGAAGTAGCAGTAAAAGTTCACTAACGTATTCTGGACGTAGCACAATATTTACCGGCTTCGCCCTTCTTGAGGCTCATCACTTGGGCGTATTCTCCGAGTTTCCGTCAACCTTATGTTCTACTTGAACCTAATTGGACAGATTTCGACCAATACTGTTGTCATTTTCACATGAATTTGGTTTTTCCAGGAGACTCAGCTGGATCCCTCGTTCATTATTGTCCGCTTTAAATGAATATTGTACTAAATGAAACATGAGGCGGCCTGTTGCAGGGCCACCATAAACGAGAGAATCCGTTGGATTCAGCGGACTTTCTTCCCCTTATAATCAATCGAGAAGCGATCTTTTAGGATAGGTTTGGAAATCAGTTGGTAAACTTACTGCTCGTCGACGCTTTGCCTGACACAAGGTCTCGTCAGGCCAAGGGAATAGGTTACAAGGTTCAAGTACAGAGTAGGTGTCTCCTCACTTACAGGCTAGTTCAGTCTTGGGTGTCACCTAGTGTAAGTGAACAACAAGTCATACTAACTAATCACGTCAAGAGAACTACTAATATGACTAGTGGAGATGCTATCAAACATGAAAAAACGCATACCTCAGGGGAAACATCATCCAAGTAGTTGAATAATACCTCTGTAACGTTGTACCGGATGCCGAACCAACGTGCATCGTCGTGTTTTCTCCAGAGCTAAAGACAAAGTGCAAAAAAACAATAGATAACAGACAGTGAGGACAAAAATTACCGTACGGTTAAGATCGATTTGTCTACGGATAGCTGTGTGTGCTTGATCGGAGCAAAATCTACGGCCTAGCTCTAAAAAATCAAAGAATGGGGGCGAGATGGCCCAAGTGGTAAGAGCCCGAATTTACTGACCGGAAGTTCCGTGGTTCGAATCCTACCTTCGCCTCTCGACTTCCCCTGTCTAGGCTTAGGCAACCTGGCAGCATCCCAGCCCTCGTGCTTCCTTCGGGTAGCATGGCAGCTAGGCACCGGAAGGGTGCTACAGCTGATCACTCACTATCAAAATAGTGAAAAACAACTAAATGAGATAGAGCTTTGACTGGAAAAGTGAAATGTCTTGAGTTTCTGTTGAAAACGTTGCCCCGATGGTTCGGTTTGACAACAGGACTACTTTTAGGTAATTTATACGGGTTTTCATTTTGAAGTGCAGAAAAGTGAATGTGCCGCGGGAATAGGACTTGAAGGCCTTTTTAGCTTGATTATTTCCTACATAGGCTTCCAGATGGAGTGAGATACCTGGTGTCAAGGACAATACAAAAATGAACTAACCTATTATTCGTAAGAATCACGGGCGGCGTATTCGCCCAACATTTCTGCCTAATTGCAGTTTCTATTTAGTTTATCTGGCTGAAACTAATAAAAATGCAGCTATGGGAACTGATAAATCAAATGAAAATATGAGTGGCAGCATCATTCAAACAGAAAGAAGGCACTGGAACTGATAATCGCCTATGATTAAGCGATCCAACACCGGGATATGTGCAAGTGCACACGGTATGTTGCGTCGATCCTGAATTTTGAGGTAAGCTCTGAGGAGTGGTATTGCTTTTTGCAATCTATCTCAAGAAAAAAGCTATCCTTTCGCAGTATTAATACTAAATCGTAAAAATACAAGATAAAAGGGTGGTAGGGGAGACTGTATCTAGTGTTAACAATCTAAGTGAACATCACATGATCGATTAAGCAAGCCATTATCCGTACTAATTGGTCTCTGACCCCAGAATTATCTGCAAGCACGTCTGGTCATAAATAATGTGACACACAAGTCGTGCATTGGTTGTTTCGAATTATTCGATGGAGTCACGGTAGTCCGTCTCTCAAAACAAAATGTTTGATCTCAGCAGAAGAGCGTTATATTGGGAGATGTACGCAGCTATTTTTTCGCCAATGATGACCAAAGTTGAGATTTGGATGGTCAGCTGGTGTGGTCTCCAAAGGTGTGACAGGACAGCATCAGCACATCAGTAGAAGAGAAGACGATGGTGGGTGCAGCACTTTGGAACAGCAGGACCCAGCGTGATTGAGACAGGAAAGAAATAGCCAGGCATTGAATGCGACGACCTACTCAGTTAAAGCTAAAACTTATAAGCTGCTCCCTCAGTGTTGTGTCTTGCTGAAGGGTAGTGCAACTCCGTATCGGTCCCTTGGCTACATGCTCCGTCCACTATGATATATCAAAGGGCACGGTAGCTCTACACAGCCCTTTATGAAAACAAAGGAAAACTACTACACTCATTTGCAAACTAATTTGGTTTTTCGAGAGATTTCGAGAGACTCGCCTGGAACCCAGCTGAATCTCTCGAAAAACCAAATTAGTTTGCAAATGAGTGTATATTCGCAATTTGGTTTCAAGTAGAACATAAGGTTGACGGAAACTAGGGGACTGTGCCTACCTGATGAGCCCCAAAAAAAGCGAAACCGGTCGTGGGCTGTCGATGGATTTTCAGCAACCTTATGAGTAGTACATTACGAAAATTACTACAACTGTATTTATACCGTAGTCACCGAGTTTTCCACAAGGTCGTGCCAGAATTTCCGTGAGGGGGCGAGAAGCGTCGAGTCAGAAATGCTCGATCCAGATTGGCTGGTATTCTAACCAATCAGGGCATGCCTTCGTTTGGTCCGTGTCCTGCACGTGACACATCCGTCCAAAAGATGTGATGTTCGGCTATTAGGGATGGCTAGCCTCCGGACACCCAGTTAAACGTAAATTTTTTGTGCCCGACGTTGATTACTTTTGTGTTCATAAATGTTTGTTAAATCTAGTATTACTGTGTGCCCCGGGCTTCATTTCAATCGGGCTGAACGGTTAACGTTTAGTGTGAAGCATTTTCACCGCTGTATTGCGCAAGCTCTCAGGTGGGCCTTGGGGGGAAGGGCAGTGAAAACCAGTGAACCTGCATAAGGATGGGTGTTTAACTTGCCAAACTTGACGTCACAGCCGATTGGCCACGGTTTACGTGATGCCACACATACCTACACTAGGACCTAAAGGAAAGCAATTTCAGGTCAGAAGTAGAAGACGTAACAGGCGTTTCTTCGCGAATTATTCCCATTACCGAGTTGAAAAGCAAGGCTGATAGAGATGAACCCCGGGGAAAACCATTTTTGATTTTGAACTCAACAGAATCTCCTCCAAAGATATTCGCGCCACCAAAAGTGTTTGCCTATAGTCATAGGGCTGGTGAAAACGTTTAGAGAGGAAGGCATCGCCACAAAGCAAAAAGGTCAACTGAGTCGTACAGCCCCCTGAGATCTAAGAAAACAACAATTGTTGGCTTTCTGTGTGGCGGTGTACAAGAAGTTGCCTTGAGATAAAGATATGGTCAGTGCATTCATTTCCCCGATTCCGTTTTTCAGGGGTGTCAATGATCCTGATAGGTAAGCGCGTTAGAGGCAAGTTATCGTGAGGATAGTCGGGACCGGGCGACTTTGTCCTGTTGGAAAGCCGAAGTTCGCTGGACTTGGAACAAACTTTTGAGCCGGCCTTCCATATAATTGGTGGGTTTCCTGAGACAGTGTTACGCACAAGTTGGAAAAGAGTTCGACTGCGACTAATCTTCATTAACCTTTCCGTTTCTTGGGCTTAATTAATCCAATTTTTCTGAGCAGTCTTGAAATTGCACCACAATCACCGTTTCGCGGATCTTGCTGAATCGTATTGCCAGGTTGATGAAGTCTCCCTGTTTAGCTATCGCAGAATTAAAGGTCACTGTAAGATTCAGTCTATATTCGGTCGTCATTTTGTTCTTATAAACACGGTGGAGTGCTGAATTCGTGGCGTTTCGGATAGTAAGCTGTTCCTCATCCGGCCGATCAGTTCGTTTCGCGTTCAAGACAGCTGCTATTGATAGAATTGTTTGACGATAGCATCTTGCGAGTAGTGAATATGATAGAGGTGAGTAATTAACTAGTTAATCGCAAGGGAACGATGTTCAACACGGACAGGTTGTTATCCGGAGCAAACAGGCATGTTTCGCTAGAGTGTATGACCAAACTGGTCATAACAAAGCAACAAAAAGTTGGCTATTCTCAGCGAGCTCATCATTCCCAAAGCGGAAGCCTAGTGCACGACGATCGGCGATGCCCAAGACGCGCCGTATAGGACTGACCGACAGAGTCATTTGACGTGGGCAGAGTTAAAATAGACGACTGTTTTATACCAACGTTGGCGTGAACGACAGCCTGTCACTTTCCGTAGTGGTCCCCCGGAGACCGAGACTTCACCTTATTTAGACACAGCTGGGCAAATAAGAGAAACTCATTCTTACTTTAGAAAGGCCGAATATTAGCCAAAGCCTCATTCGAATAGGCAATTCACGTTCCAATGAGGGAGGATTTTCCGATAACTGAGAAAGGACCATTGGGAGGAAATTCTGTTTCAGTGAGGCATCCTGGAAGTAGGTATCAGGCTACAAAAAACGAGGGGAACAATTGCGAATTAGCAGAAGTTCACGACAGATGCATCAATATTAGCTGGCCCTGTAGGACTTCCGTGAAGGATAGCGTGCTTTTTGAAAACTGAATTTACGCTTAGAACACAGTGCATACAAGCAATCCATGGTAAAAATGTCAATGACTACCCTTGGAAAAGACATATCTGATGAATTGAGTGATACCATACATTTTGATTGCATACTTAGCTTTAGGGACGCTGTGTTTTTGCAAACTGATACCGCTCACCCACACTGGGACAAACAGACATGCATTGAGGTATATGCATACAACCGGTTTCTTGTGGTTCCTCCTCGCCTATTTAAAAACCTTTATCTGCGCCACCGAGACCTGGAGCTGAGTTCCCAAGTTACTATGATTTCCTCATTTCCATGCTTATGAAGAGTCTCTTAATTATGTTCTTCTCCGTCTTCTAACAACTTTGCTCAACTACGCTTACTCAGGCATCTCAACTTCTCCATTCAGATGTCTCACTAAAAAGGTGTCTTCGAACAACAACAACCACGTGCCCGTAATTTCTTCTGCAGAAAGTCAATGCTTCCGTTTTCTTCTGGTAACTACAATAACACGGAGGCCACCACAACCCTAATTCAGACCACCTTTTCCAGTTAGTTACCTTCTGCTTTGCAGGTTTTTATGACTTGTGAGCCAATACATTAAAACGCAAAATGTAGTGTCATTCTGAGAGACTTTCATCCTTTACCCTTCACCAAATATGCACAAAGTTCCGAACCACTGTGTCAGAAAACGTTGATTCATATCATTAAGTTCGATAGATAATGGGTGAGAACCCAAAGCAACAAACGGGAATAAGTTGGGAAGCAAATTGGCCTACCTCTCCGAACGGCTCCTTTTCCAACATCTTCGTGAGGGCGAATGCGGTGATTGTTCGTGTAAGGGGCTGGGACAAAACACCGAAATCCGAATGAACATACGGACACAACACAGAGTATTGCATTGCAACTGACGGACGAACATTAGCCCTCATCTGTCCCATACGATTTACTCGTGTTATGTCTACAAATAATGTTGGCAGGGGTAATAAGGTGTTACCCATTCCAGTCGTAATGCGCAGTGACAGGTGGTGAAAAAGTAGCTGTGTATTCTGTACACGTACAAGACCAAACCAAGGGAGATGCTTTGTGGACCAACAGTAGAACAAACAGTAGAACATCTTCTCACACAGCCTGTCTGAAACAAGTCCTGGGTTTGAAGCTCCCAGCTAGCGTTTTGAGCATAACCACCAAAGCTACACTACACAGTGCGCCGTTGGTAACTAGCAACAAGCGGATACTGGACCCACATTTCCAACCGATCAGAGCCCGCTTGATGCTGGATTGGTCAGAAACCCGATCGCTTGGCAAACCCCATGAGAATGAGGCTTTTTGACAGTTGAGGAATCGTCATTGTTGAGAACATGGAGGTACACTGCTAAAATAGACGACTGTTTTATACCAACGTTGGCGTGAACGACAGCCTGTCACTTTCCGTAGTGGTCCCCCGGAGACCGAGACTTCACCTTATTTAGACACAGCTGGGCAAATAAGAGAAACTCATTCTTACTTTAGAAAGGCCGAATATTAGCCAAAGCCTCATTCGAATAGGCAATTCACGTTCCAATGAGGGAGGATTTTCCGATAACTGAGAAAGGACCATTGGGAGGAAATTCTGTTTCAGTGAGGCATCCTGGAAGTAGGTATCAGGCTACAAAAAACAAGGAAGACAATTGCGAATTAGCAGAAGTTCACGACAGGTGCATCAATATTAGCTGGCCCTGTAGGACTTCCGTGAAGGATAGCGTGCTTTTTGAAAACTGAATTTACGCTTAGAACACAGTGCATCCATGGTAAAAATGTCAATGACTATCCTTGGAAAAGATCTATCTGATGAACTGAGTGATACCATACATTTTGATTGCATACACAAGCAATCCATGGTAAAAATGTCAATGACTACCCTTGGAAAAGACATATCTGATGAATTGAGTGATACCATACATTTTGATTGCATACTTAGCTTTAGGGACGCTGTGTTTTTGCAAACTGATACCGCTCACCCACACTGGGACAAACAAACATGCATTGAGGTATATGCATACAACCGGTTTCTTGTGGTTCCTCCTCGCCTATTTAAAAACCTTTATCTGCGCCACCGAGACCTGGAGCTGAGTTCCCAAGTTACTATGATGTCCTCATTTCCATGCTTATGAACAGTCTCTTAAATATGTTCTTCTCCGTCTTCTAACAACTGTGCTCAACTACGCTTACTCAGGCATCTCAACTTCTCCATTCAGATGTCTCACTAAAAAGGTGTCTTCGAACAACAACAACCACGTGCCCGTAATTTCTTCTGCAGAAAGTCAATCCTTCCGTTTTCTTCTGGTAACTACAATAACACGGAGGCCACCACAACCCTAATTCAGACCACCTTTTCCACTTAGTTACCTTCTGCTTTGCACGCTTTTTTTGTGACTTGTGAGCCAATACATTAAAACGCAAAATGTAGTGTCATTCTGAGAGACTTTCATCCTTTACCCTTCACCAAATATGCACAAAGTTCCGAACCACTGTGTCAGAAAACGTTGATTCATATCATTAAGTTCGATAGATAATGGGTGAGAACCCAAAGCAACAAACGGGAATAAGTTGGGAAGCAAATTGGCCTACCTCTCCGAACGGCTCCTTTTCCAACATCTTCGTGAGGGCGAATGCGGTGATTGTTCGTGTAAGGGGCTGGGACAAAACACCGAAATCCGAATGAACATACGGACACAACACAGAGTATTGCATTGCAACTGACGGACGAACATTAGCCCTCATCTGTCCCATACGATTTACTCGTGTTATGTCTACAAATAATGTTGGCAGGGGTAATAAGGTGTTACCCATTCCAGTCGTAATGCGCAGTGACAGGTGGTGAAAAAGTAGCTGTGTATTCTGTACACGTACAAGACCAAACCAAGGGAGATGCTTTGTGGACCAACAGTAGAACAAACAGTAGAACATCTTCTCACACAGCCTGTCTGAAACAAGTCCTGGGTTTGAAGCTCCCAGCTAGCGTTTTGAGCATAACTACCAGAGCTACACTACACAGTGCGCCGTTGGTAACTAGCAACAAGCGGATACTGGACCCACATTTCCAACCGATCAGAGCCCGCTTGATGCTGGATTGGTCAGAAACCCGATCGCTTGGCAAACCCCATGAGAATGAGGCTTTTTGACAGTTGAGGAATCGTCATTGTTGAGAACATGGAGGTACACTGCCGTACAAGGTCAAATTATTTCATAAAGCTTAACTGTGCTGATAAGGTGGTTTGGGTGTAGAATTCCGACTAACACTACCACAGCATATTTGGTCAGTTCCCCTGTTACGTGAGTCACTGTAGGAAATCCATTTTTGCAGTTCGGAAGTGCTTCAGGGTTCGACGATGAACTAGAGCTATAAGACCGAAAAATAAACACACTGGAATATAGGCAGCTGGGGTTGTTGGTCAGGTTTCCCTGGATCTCTCCACCGATGTTGGTAATCGACTTTCAAGCATTTCGAGGAGACATTGTCAACCTCGAACTGACAATATCCCAAAGGAGGGTGACGAAATGCTTGCAGAGAAACCCCAAGTCAAACAACCAACGCTAAGGCTTGTCAGGAGCTGGAATCGGAACTAAGCATTCACTGAATACCACAATCATTGAGATGATCGAGTGTTCCACCAACTCCTTCAGAAAAATACCGCAATACCTGCAGCGCACATTAAGTACCAATAGTTTCTAGTGTCTGCTCAAAACCAACATAGATATCCTCTATGAAATTGGGGCATGTTATCAATAATCAAACTTACGGACAAATTCTCCGTATCATTCAGACAATTCATGAAATATTTGAAGCCTCCATCACGAACTGAATCACTTCGGCTGAATTCCGTCTACGTGCGAAGCAAATAAACAGTGAGCAGGCATAAGTGTTCACATAAAGAAACAACTATGTATCAGGGGAACAGTTAGGAATCAAGAAATGAGAGTATATAATGACGTAGAACGTATGATAAAAGCAAACGTCTTTCTCCCGTCACACACTGTCTTACGGATATCTTAACGACCATGGTCAGATCAATCCATAAGGATATGGTCCGACTGGTTGATAACACAGGAACAAGCAATTTCTCGTTTGCACAGCACAACAGTATCAAATCCATGGTCCGTGCGCCCTAACCGGCAGTAGCAACCCAGGAGGACATAAAGGTGAATAGAAGAGGGTAGCCACATATGCTCCAACGATGGCCCATGACTTGACAAATAATGCACATGTGACTGAACATTTGAAACCATTGTGACCGGCATTACTCATCGCACGGACCTGAAACATACATATTTAGCTACGTACTACTAATTTGATCTGTATGGTCATCACCATCATCATCGACAGCATGACATCAGTGTTCAACGCCGATGCTTCACTGCCATATGGTAGTGGTGAGTCGTGTCGATTGATGGAACGCACTGGTGTCCAACTCATCGTTCAAAAAAAAAAAACAGGAAGCCATGGAGTTTTAAAAGGAACTATCCTTGAAAACGGTTTTGTCTATAGTTTTGCATACAGTTGTTTGAGGTGAGATTAATCTTCAGAAAGACTGGTGGGTCGTGGACAGAAAGGAAGTTTTGAATAAAACGCTACTAGCGAGATACATCCTGCGCGCTGAGGACGTCGAAAGACTTTCAGTGTTTGACAATCGATGTCTTCGGAGCATTGCCCGAATCTAGTGGGAACACCGGATCAGCAATTCCGAAGTACGTCGAATGGCGTTCCGGAGAAATAACTCACCCTTGTGCTGCGTATGCCAGTCGACCGACTTCCTCGAAGGGCTCTTTTCGCACAACCCCGTGAAGGGTGGAAGAGAGCCAGAGGCGGTCAAACAATGACTTAACAGTGAAGAATGAAAGCCAGTACCAGCAAACTCAGCTGCGCTGGTCACTGTCGTCTTCCTGGATGGGGACCCCAAGACGGGCCACATCAATGGCTAGAGACATTATCAGACATGGCCCAGTCACGCCCTCAATGGCGCTCGTGCATCCAAGCTATTGCCTTCAATGCATAGCTCCTTTTCCAACCCCCTCCCCCACTTGACAGCCCACTGAGAGTGCTGGATTTATGCACCAACTTACCAGCTCGCGCCTGCAATGCGCAGCTACCTACTCCCTCCCCGAAATCATCGGTGAACGAAACCCAGCTAAAACACGAGTACGCGGTTATTACAGCTGACAATGATGATGATGATGAGCTATATACATCTAAGGCAGGTCAATCGTCGCAATGGACGTTAAGTGTACAACGTAAACAATCCATGTTACCCAGAAGAACCACACACTTACCTGAGCACTGGCAATGATCTTCCCCCAAATGAACACTAAGTGGGGTTTCACCTCGGACAGACTGGACGAAAACAGACGGGCGATATAGGGTAGGATGCCAACCATCAAACAGTGTGTGACGGCCCACGGCCCCAAATCAAGGAACTCGCTTAGAAGTTGCATTGCTCGGGTTCGATGACTTTGGCTCAGTAATATCTGGAACAGGAAAGAACGACGGGCTGGAGCGTGTAAGACATTAACACTCACACGCGGAAAAGAAACGACGAAACATAGACTGACAATGACGTTCACCTAAAAGTTGGAGATTAGATATCTAAATATATCGAAAGGTTGAATGGGCACAGAGAAAAAATAGAGTGGGATATGTGGAGTTATAATAAATCGCCGGCTCGCTGTGTGTGCTTGGGCAAAGTTTACCGCTAATTTAGTCGTATACACCACACAGCTGGCAGGCGGCTGTCTGTACACCGGAACTGAAAATATTTAGTTATGTTTCGGACAGTAGTCCGGAACCTTTGACTCACTGTAATTTTGTGTTCTGAAATCGGTCACGAAGCTATTCGTTTGTGCATCTGAGACCCATTGATCTATACTGAGGAGTGTCCATGCAAAGCTTGTAGTCTCTCATACCAGGTTGGCCAATGGTTGCATGTCTGATTAACAGAATCTTCTGGCTCTCCAGATTGGGAGTTTGAACGTGTGGCAACCTGCTCCCTGAGAATGGCAACGCATTTCAGCCCGCAGCCTAGTGTTCAGACTTTTGAGCCGAGTGTTTCATTCGAACACCCCAGTCGTCCTGTTGCCTCGTTCTGAGAGCTCTGGCAGTATTCCAGCCAACGTACAACGATGATTTTCACAACTAATACCGGTCGTACAACGGTGTCATCAGCCCGGTCACCTTACTTATTGCATAGAGCACGCCGCGTAAGCGAAAATTTCACGTGAGTTTTGTTCCCCGTCCCCCAGCCCACCTTATTAATGACTCCTTGTAGATCCACCAGTGAGGACTGAAAACGCCGTTCAACGTGCATCGGTTTAGGCCACAAAATTTGCGCAGCAACCAGCACCAACAGTCTCAGGCATCCCGAAATCAAGCTTCAAGCCTCGACGACAGATTTATCTGGCTGCCTCTAATGTTCACGGTCTGAGACAAGCAAGACAACAAGCTGCTCCTGCTCTTACACTGACTCGCTTGACATTGATAGGTGATGTGTATCAAAAACAACATGTGTGTATTTACATAAATACACCGGGGGATCGATAGATGATGTTGTTTTATCTGAATTACACGCACCTCATGTACCTAACAGAGGATTGAAGCACACAATACTTATCGTGAACTGCGTACTTTATTCATTTAAAAGTGGGCGATTTTGAAGTGTGAATTTCGCATTTAACACATAGAAGGAAGCACGTAGTCTGAAATATGTAAAAATTCCACTAACTGCACGACCAAACTGTGGACAAGCTCTGGGAACGCTCTTTCGGGTCAGAATCAAGCGCTTCCAGCTTCGTTCAGCTTCCTTCGACCTCGAATGAGGAGTCTAGCACAATCTTGCAAAGGAATCGACGGTTCACTGAATAAACAGAGGCGCAAATCCAACCAACTGTCCCTGTACGCGTTGCCGCTGATAAACGCTATTGGGCTCTGCAAGTAGATAGCCGCAAGATGAATACTTGAGCCTCGCCTAGAACAATGACCGAATAATCACATCTCACGGATCCTAAGTGAGACTTCTGAATGGAGCATGGAAATCATATCGTTGAGCCACCGGGCAGTGAGGATAGGTTCCACGCACAAAGAGATTGACGCCTGTCATCCTCTTTCGAGTGGTACACACCCACCGCGTGCCGCTCAGATGGAGAGGACGGACCGTACAGCCATCCCTCTCTATAGAGAACTTTCATACAAACAAACCCTAAAGTTTACACATCAGAGACCTAGAAGCATCTTAAACAAACGAGCTCCTGAGATCAGCTGGCGCCGATTCATGAGGGTTTGATTGTATCTGACTGGCGGGATCTTAGTCGAAGAACGTTTAATTCGCTAGACTTCGTTGCGATTGCGCTCACGGACTGCCTGGACTCTAATCATTCACTCGGGTGAAAGAATTCTACACAGATCAGGGATCAAATATCTGTCGCACATTTAGCAGCCACGAATGTTACACAAAGTTCCCGCACTCGGCTGCATTAAGTCCAGTTCTCGTATGCTTTACTTGTTGGAGACAAGGGACTTTAACGAAAAGCACTAGAACAATTTCTCCATGAAACTTTTGCCAACAGTAACCTAGTGAGTACATTCGGTAATTTTCAACAGATTTTTTTCTCTTTGAAGTCAATCTATGCTGAATAACCGGGAAGCACTTTAAGCTGTTGCATGATTTTTGGGAGTCAAATGATCAAGATTAGGCCAGATCAATTTGGTCAGTACCACTGAAATCCCATGGATTAGTTGTGCCTCAGTGGACATGAAAAATCCTTCAACAGACTCCCTGTGAAAACGTAGAAGTTACATCACGAAGTCGAACTACAGGTGATAAGTTTTATTTCTAGAGATCGTTCCTCAATTCAAACTGATTCAAAAACAGAAAACCCAATTCGGGAACTTGGAGAAGCGAGTTGTATAAATCTCCTACAGGCAGAACCGCAGTGTCTGTGCGGACGATCGGTCGGGAGCGGTTTTTTCTATAAAACAAAAGGCGCTGGTCCTTGAAACCGGCCTCCGGTAAGTAAGCAAAAACTGACTTTCAAGTAGCCACTGTTAACTACATCACCGGAGACTCTTGAGCTAACAGCCAGGGAGAAGGTCCTCTTCACGAAGAGGTCTCACATGAGGTTTCCCATAAGAAACCACAGGGATCACCGATTAAGACGGACAAAACCAAAAAGAACCGCCATCTCCAAGAAAGCCGCATGGTGCGAAAAAAACACGATCAGACGAAGTACCTGCAACAGGATGGGTAATTGCATTGCTGGTGGCTGTTTCTCATCAGCAGTTTGTAACCACACTTTGAATGCCGTCATCTGACTCGTAAAAAACGAGGCTGGGCCGCTGCCTCCGATCACCGACCCAGCGTATACAGGGGCATTGGAAGCAGGTGCACCAGGGAGCTGCTGCTGCTGGCTTTGAGGCTGGACCGAATGGTTCGGTGTATGTCCCGCCGGTGTGGGAGTTGCACAGGCAACAAAATTGGCAGGCAATGTAGTTGGATTAGAGGGGCAAACCACTTGGGGTATGGCTGGATTATTGGCAGCCTGTGTGGATGTTTTATTATTGCCATTTGGTGTTTGCAAAGTGTGGAGTCCTTGTAGGACGTGTTGTTGCCGTCGCAAGGCTGTCAGGGTACATTCTGGGGGTCTCGCATCGGTGATCTGGGCAGGCGGCAGAGCAGTACTGGCTGTCTGAAACAGTGACGCGGGAAAATAGAAAGTAAAAACTGAAGAAAGAACTACAGGACTGTGGGCAATGTTCAACAAAATTTTTGTTGCATTAGCGCATAAAAGAAACGTTAAATTCCTCACGAGTTCAGAGCAAGAATTAGGCAAATAGTGCGAGTTACGACTGCATCTAATGACTGTTACTAAAAATTGTTCTTCATTTGAAGAAAAATCGTTCAATTTTAGCACCCTTCCGGTGCCTGACTGCCATGTTACCCGAAGGTTGCACGAGGGCTGGGATACTGCCATGTTGCCCAAGC